ACACACACACACACACACACACACACACACGTGCAATATTTGATTTTGAAAAACCTGTGAGCTAATTTGATGCATGCAATGTTGCTTTTATTGTTAAGTCAAAGCCCCCTCAATATTATTTAGGGGCCTAATTCACATGGTAGTTATTTCTCTCCAGAAGACTTTGACTTCATCCACTTGAGGTCATTCAAGTTATATATCTAATCTCCCATATTCTTCATTATTTCATAACTAGTCTGAAATCATTTCTATACTTTAGTATGGTAGGCTGTTCTCTTACATATTTCTAAATCGTTTTTTTAAACTATAAGCAGATATGTGCATTTGTGTGCACAGGGACATTTGACAAAATAAGTAATAATGTCAAATTTTGCTGGACACTTGTAAAGTGTCACCATAGAAAGCTCTATACCAAAAAACTTGAAGTATCCCCTTTAGCAGCCTCTAGGTGAAATGGGACGTGTCGTCGTGTAAAAATTTAATAGATTATCTGGTGGTTTTCATATAAGAGAACAGGCTGATATCTTATTCATTTCTGAAAACTGCTTGCTTCTGTTTTGTGTGTGCATATGGGCCAAGTAAGAGCAATCAAAATTGGCAATAAGCATCTCTGACTTAATTACATTTGGTATGCTCATTTATATTTTAAAAATGAATGCCACAAAATGCCTTCTGTTTGTTACATATCGTAGTTTTGAAAAGTCTTTTTGGCAATTATTCAAGTTCTTAACAAGTATGGGTGCTCTGAAATTGATTGCCTAATTTGAAGAGTGACAGTGATGAAAAAAGAGAAGTGCATTTCTGTATACTGAGATGTTTACTTCAGTGAACCAAATCATTGGAAATCGCCATGTGCACTTAACAATGCAAAATCAGTGCATGATTACTCAATAAGTTTTAAGAATGAATAGAGCCAGCATGTGCTTTAAATATATTAACTGTAATATAGTAGGCCCATACTGTGTTAAGAATTCTAGCATATTTGTCTGTAAAGGACCAATGAGTTATAGCACAATTTAGGAAGAACACTAAATTACAAGTTTCAACAAACTGAGGATGTTACCTCCATTAGTGACTTCTTCACAACCAGGAATTGAGTCTCTTCCCATAAAGCTACTACTGTAGATAATCACCTTATGAGAGGAACAAACTTAACTTCTTCCTACAGGCTTCTGGTTAGCCATTCTGTTACATAGAATCTTAAAACTACTATAGAAAAGTCTATGATTTGATGCAGCTGAACTCTTTGATGCAGAAGAAAAATGTCAATCTCTTCTTCAAACAGACTAACATTGTTTTTATGACTAACATTGTGTTACTAAATGCTGTTCTAGGAGATAAAAAGGTAAAAATGTTCACTATATAATCATTTTACTATATTCTGCATTTCATTATTTAACCTCATTTTGTAAACCAATAGTTGGAGAGCAGAATTATGTAAATTATAGCATGTTTATGCTATATATATATTTAGACTAGTGTATTGAGCAAAGTAACTTAGCTAGCAAAAGATGCCAGGTCAGACTATGTTTAGACCAGGATATCACTAGTTAAGGGGAATAATCACAGAAAATTGGGCGCATTCATTTCTCTCAAGGATATGTTTTACTCCTTTCATGAATCCCCTAATTTGTTTCTTTCCTAAGCATACACAAATGTTGCACAATACTAATAGCCTAATTGGCATTCACAGTAACCCAAATTATAGGGCTGAATGAAGCACATAGCATGTGTTTCATTTTGCCAAGACCAATATTATTTCTGTATTATTTAAAAGAAATATATGAAACCATTATTATATACAATACAGTGAATTTTGGCAATATGGCTAAGATTCATGGTTAAGCTTCCTTGATTTATAAAAATAAAACAAAGAATGCAAGCTTACTAAAAAATTGCACAAGAAACTAACATTTAATCCAGTAAAATAAAAAAATAAATGCTACATAGATCCGGTAGTAATATGGTGATGATGCTGAATTGCACCAGCCTAACATTTTGGGTTCATGTTTTTTTCAGGATCTGATGACTTTCAGGATTTGATGGCTTTAAAGGTAAGGTGATATAGAACAAGTACATTTAATACTTACTTTGTAAAAAAAACAATAGCAAAAATATACTGAGAGAAAGGAAGTGAAATTTGTCTGGAGGGTGAGGCTATACCTACCTCAAGGCCTACAGTTATCTGCAGAGGCCTACAGTTATCTGCAGAGTCCATAGCACAATTCTTAGAGGTTTTGGTGACATTTCTGTAAAGGAGAGGTGCACACAGTCTATGCACTGATTATGTTTTCTTTTTCAGTATGTTGAAGAACTACTGGTAAAATATATTTATGTCAAATAGCCACACACCTCAAAAGCAATTAAGCCATAGAACAATGTAATCAAATCTTGGAGCAGTTTCATAATGCTCATTAGTAGTCACTACAACTCATTCATCAAGGTAGCTTTTTGCAAGTCAAAGTATAAGATGGTGTCCTGTGGAGGGAGATAAGGAGTCAATTGATAGTAAGGCCAGAAAATTTATTTTTATATTTTTCTGATGGGAGTTTTGTTTTTTGGTTCCTAGAATAATACTGAATATTTCCTTCCTCTTCCTCCTTTTCCCTTGTAATCTTTCCAACTATCAGGCATTTATTAACATACTAAGTTTTTATAAGATGGAATGTAATTGTCAGAAGGAAACAGAAGAGCTGAGATTATGATTGAGAGTGGAAAATTTAATTCTCCATCCACACAGGATTCTTAAAATATGAGGTCAGTGATAAATCCCTTAAACAGGATTCTTCTGATGTGATCCAACTCACATGGCTTTCTGTCATTAGAATCTCCCTGAGGCACTGTATTTTCTCAGAAGTAACAGAATATGTTGCTATTTGGGATGCTCTTCATTGCTGAGTTTGTGTGTGTGTGTGTTTGTGTGTGTGTGTGTGTGTGTGTGTGTGTGTGTACAAAGTGTATATATGTGTGTATATATATATATTAATATTTTTTATATGCAGCCCCTGAAGAGCTAAGTTCTGTTTCTTAAATACTGAACCTTCTTTAAACTTCTCAAATACTGAGCCTTTTAACCTTTATATATCATGAAAACTTAGGCCTGAGAAAAGACAAAAGGAAAATAATGTTGGCTTCACAAAACAAGTCTTACTTGCATTTGACAATGAAAATTGAATTCTATTTTTCTGTTATATGATGCTATGTTGTTTAATGGAGAGGTTGTCAAAGTGTGTTGAAAGGGGACGACGACTATCCTGCCTTATAAATGCTGAGAAAAGGTGTGTATTAATACATTTTAAAGCAATATTTGGTACTGTGCTTATCTTTTTTCCACTTCTACTTCACAACAGTTTTCCAACCTTTACAAATAGTTTGTTTCCTAAATACCAGTTCTCTTAAAAGCCACTCCTAGAAGTGATAAATGAAACAGTACAACAAAAGCTTGGTTCTTAAAAGGTCAAACATTCATTAGTTTACTGCAAGTACCAGGAGACAGACAATAGTGGTGAGATAATCCAGAAAGTGGAAGTACAAGAATAATAGGTAATTTCTGCTTAGACTGAACCACAAGCCTTAGCAAAAAGAGTAACAATCGTACAACTCTGGTGCTTACTGGATAATGTTGTAATTCTCCTTCAAAGAAGAATTTGATGGTACAAGCTGTTTAGCAAATTTCAGGTGCATTCAGAAAGAGACCTGGCCTCCCTGTACTTGGGACTTAAAAAGGTAGTGAGAAACACAGTTCTCTTAAAATAGGCATATGACAGTCTTTGTTCTTAGCATGAGTTCCAGAAGTCAACTGTAGATCAAAGGTGGAAAGGGTATGTCTTCCTGTTGTCATAATTGATTGCTAACATAACAGAAGGTTAAATATTTCCCACACCAGTCTTGGCCAAACTATATTTGCTTGCCACTCAAAACAAAGATAAGAAAAAGAGGGTTTGCTTCCTCTCTTTCTTATAGAGATGAAAAATTTATAGAACTGGGTGATAATTTTCTACCCTTTCCAAAAGTGCTTCAGAATATCCAGGGGAGTAATATCTGAAAGAGAAATAAAGGTTATTTTATTAAAAATTTATCATGTTAAATACTAAAGCTGCAATTCAGCGAAAAAGTAAGCATACTTAAAATCAGTAGAATTGTGTGTAATTCAGATTGCATTTAGGAAATAAAAATTAGGCTAGAAGGCTTGTTCCATAAAAGGTGATTTCCCTCCAAATCCACAGTAGAAAAATGTGCATGCTCCATGTGTATTTGGTATCAGATTAGAAGTAAAGCAAATATCAAAATATTTGTTCAACCTCTGCCCATTTTGTGTAGTAGGCTTGGTGGTTGCAATTTAACAATTTAACAGCAGTACTTTGGAATAGGAATCACAGGAAAGGAGCTTTGCACTCTTAACATCTAACTGTATTTTAAACTGGACAGCACCAAAATCCTATTTCTATCCAAATTCTGTTTTTCCTGTTGTAATTTAACAAGAAAAAATTATTCAATTTAGAAACCCAAATGGGAATATCTTATAACCCATAGTCTATAATTCTTAACAACCTCACTCATTTTTAAGATGTACTTTGTCATTTAATTAGAAATAAACATCCAGAAAGAAATCTTTGACCTTTGCTGTAAAACTCAGGTTTCTGCATATTTGGTGGGGAGATTTTCCTTACTTTATTATAAGATTACAAAATAAAACACTATTTTATTTTGCAAAGAATATTTCTTTAGCACTGACTGAACTCTTTCAAAATTTTATTGGAATGATTAACTGCTGTCTGTCTATAACGTCTTAGATAGGCAATCAAAGAATAAAGGTCCCATCTTTCCTCGGATCTCAGTACAAAGGCCAGATTTAAAAGCAGCCTCCAGCTTTTAGGACAAAAAAAGAAAGAAAATGTCGGCAGACAGTAAAATGTAAGGGAGTAACTAGTTCTTTTATCTTTCAAATCAGAGATGGTGCTTAAATCAAATAAATAAAATGTGCAAACCAGGCAGTAAATCCTTTTGGTGGGGAAGGGAGTAGTTAAACCCAATACTAATGTGTAGATAAATAAAGTCTCCATTACTAAATGAAACTAAAATCAATTGGAAATATTAAACTAATAAAATAATCAGATCTACATCTGCTGATGTGGAATATGTACAATTTACTATGACAGTGAGTGCTACAATGTTCTTTGGCACTATGAAAATTAGAGGACTTGAATAATTCTATTATATTAGAAACCTGACAATATCTGTTGCTTAAATAATTAGGATTACTTCTGATTAAAATCCATGAATTCAAATTGTAGATTTTTTGGGGGGGGAAAGCAACTGATGTATGTCAAGATAAATTCAATAATATGAAGCATACTGATACTCAGTCTAATATAGTCTTTCCCATCTTAGTCCTTCCAAATACATTAAAATTACCACACTTATGTTGATTGGAAATTTCTGGGGTTGTAATATTAATGAATCTACACTTCTTGCTCTCAAGTTTAGGTAACAAAATCTCTAACCATTGTATGTGTTTTCAAGGAGTAGCAACCAAGGAGCTTTTATGAGACATGCATTAAAAAAAATATTACAATTGAAATTAGAATGAATGATAGCATCACTTTATGGAAAATGAAGCTGACCAGTAGAGGGAGTACATATGTATGGCATAGAATTAGCAGTGTCTAACACACAACTATATTTTTTTAACTCAGTTACTATACAGAGCCCATTTACAAGCAATTCATTTCACTCTACCTGAAAGCAGAACTCAGAGGGCAGGGAGAAAGGATAGGGCTTAGATTTTGACAAACTAAGGTAAGCTATAGGACAATGCCACATACCTCCCTTAGACCAATAAGATCACACAGGATGGGCCTTCTCTGGGTACCTTCAGCAGGACAATGCCGGCTGCCGGCGCCTAGGAGTAGGGCCTTCTCTGTTGTCACTCTGGCCATATGGAATGAGCTGCCCCCCAGAGATCCAGGCCATCCCCACTCTCATGGCGTTTCACAAAGCCATTAAAACCTGGCTTTTCCGGCAGGCCTTCTGATTGGTGTTTGTTGCGTTCTTTTTTAACTTTGTGTGTCCTATTGTTTTTAAGTTCTTTTAATTTCTTTTTTATTCTGTAAGCCGCCCGGAGTCCTTCGGTATTGAGCGGCATAGAAACCTAATAAATTCAATTCAATTCAATTCAATACAAAGACAAGATTTATCCTGTTAATGGATTTATCCAAAATCATTTTGATAGTCGGAGGCCACATTGAGATCACTAGCTGGCCAGCTACCGTCTAGAACAGGGATGTCAAACTCATGTTGTCACATTGTCATCATGTGATACATCAGGACTTTTCCCTCCTTTACTAAACTGTGAGGGGGTGGTGCCAACATATGACATATCTAGCCTGCAGGCTGCGAGTTTGGTACCCCTGGTCTAGAAGTTCTAAACCATTTCCTATATTATTTGTACGTTTCAAATAGATATATCAACAAATTTAGTATATTTATTGGGGCCAACCTCATGCTGTCTTCTAGTATGGAATTCTTGAATTTTTCTATTTTAATGGACACCAAACTAAAAATAGCATTTCAGCATTTCTTGTTAAGGATTGCTTTAGATTATATAACTATATGCTTATAGTGATACCATGTGACATACATACGGTACATAAAGTGCATTACCTAGATTGAACTGAATAGGTGGATGGTAATAAAGAAATGTTATATTGAATAGGTCAGTAATAAATGTGGTTAGTCCCCAAAGTTGCTGTTATGCAAATATCATATACTAATAACAGGTCTCATCTTCTCCCCTCATGTTTTAGCATATTTATTGTACTTTGTATTTTTGAAGTATTTTATTTATTTAATTTTATGTTTTTAATATTGTAAGCCATTCAGAGTTACTCTGTGGTAAGATGAGCAATCAATATGTTAAAAAAAGAAATACAAATGAATTAAAATTATTTTAAAAATTATTCTTTGTATAAGACATTTTCTACTTCTTACTGAAGAACTACTTCTAAATATCCCCAGGGACAGAAGTGAAATCTGCCCATTGAAATTAATATATCCCTAATTTTGTAGATTCCAGAGTAAATAACAGTTCATATTCCCAGAACCACTGAATGTTTGTACTGTATTAACTATGCAACTGTTATGATGATGCTTAATAAAATGTCATTATTCGAAAGTTAGCTAAATAAACTAAACTATAATTGTTTAAATATAGAATACGTGAAATTAATTATTTTCCAACCTCACCTGACTATTTCTTCTGGATAACAATTATTAATTGTATTGATATACTCTTGAAGTAGTGAGCCAGCTTCTGCTTTTATCTCCTGAACTTTTTTAAGACCACCACTTGTTACAAAAAGACGCCTGGCTTTGGAATCATGTGGCAAAACCTATTTAAAGAAAACAAAATCAAGAATTCAATTTTCTTACTCAAAAGTTCTTATTTCCTTTGAAGCTTAATATTAATGTGAAGCTAAGATGCAAAAGAGTGAGCATAATTTAGCAAATGTTATTCATTCAAGTCTCAATTAACAAATGAGGGTATGAGCATTATTGTCAAAAAAAGAATATACAAAGGAGAAAAATAAGTTGCTGATCTGCAATTGTGAGTTTTTTGACTAATCATCACTTCCTGAAAATGACATATGTCAAGAGGCAGTGCTCTATCTTTCAATTTCTTGAGCTCACACAACTGTCACTCACAAACACCAATAATGCTCATCAGATCTTGACTTGTTTAAGTCAGGTAATAAAAGTGCATAGATGACATTTCACAGAACTAGAGTTATAGGAAAACAACTTGTCCATCTTTTCTGTGCTCCACACAAAATGAGCAACCTAAGAACATCAAAAGTGGATCAGATGACCATGGAAAGCAACAGGTAAGATCATAATGGCTAAGGGACACATCTATTTGGGTATGAATATCTAATTCATAAACAAAGTTAAAAACTGAGACTATATTGCCGGTTCCACCACAAAACCGCGTTTGACTAAAGCGCGCTCGACAAAACCACGTAGCTGATGTCATCACAGCGTGACAACAGCGCGGAGAAAAAAGTACGCTGTAAACGCTAAAGCTAAAATTAACCCCTAAACCTAAACCTAACCCCCCCTAAACCTAATCCTAAACCTAACCCTTAACCTAACCCTAAACCTAACCCTAACCCTAACCCTTAACCTAACCCTAAACCTAACCCTAAACCTAACCCTAAACCTAACCCTTACCTTAACTTGAATCGGCTTGCTTTCAAAGCGCTATTTAAAGCGCCCTTTTTTCTCCGTGGTCGCTGTTGTCGCCCTGCTGATGGCGTCAGCGACGTGGTTTAATCGGGCGCGCTTTAGTCGAGCGCAGTTTTGTCGTGCCACGATATTGCCAACTCACCCACCTCTACAAAATAAATATCTCAAGAAGAGTCAAGGATGCAACCACAATTCATGTTGAGTGGAAGTACTGTGTCTGTCCCATCTGGCAATAAGAGCATGTTGCACTTTGCTGCAGGTCCCATCCATGAAGAAATGTCACTTAATAGCACCTATTTTATGCTGGGGCATCTTCCCTTTGGAACTTCATTCCCCTAGAGGTCAGACTGGCTCCTATCTTGCTGGCCTTTCAGAAGAGTTTGAAAACATTTTTGCTATCTGGCCTGAAGATCCTCTAATGTGGGTATTGCTAGGGAAGTTGAGTGTGCTCCTACTCACATTTTTAATAGATTGTATTTATTTATTTTTGTTATGTGTTCATTATCTTGTATTATAGCGTAGTGGTTAAACAGCAATATTGCCAACAAAACTCTGCCCTTAGCCTGGAATTCAGTCCTGATGGTGCTTTAGTCTGTCCTTTTGAGATTGGTAAAATGGGGACCCAGAGTGTTGGAGTCAACATGCAAATAATGCTTTTTCATTGTAAACCATCCAAAGAGTGTTCTAAAGCACCTGGGGGTGTATATAAGACTCAATGCTATTGTTATTGCTATTCTATGTTTTAAATTTTGTGTGTTACTCAGTCGTTATGTAAAATGGGCAGCCATATAAATTTACCAGAAATGCAAGACACAACAGATAGAGTTACTGGGTGATACATATCTGAATGCATTGACCTGAAACAGATTGTCCTTCATATAATAATTCATAACAGTATAGGGGCTGTTCTGCAGAGCAACATTATAATGTTTTCTCTAAACAGAAGTCAGTTAAGATATGCTGACTTACAAGAATATTGACTATTCACCTTGGCAATTAAAGAGAACAGAGATTCACTTCACATAAGAGGCAGGATAGGAAGCAACCCTGAGCAACTGTGTTTGGGCTCCTAGGATGGAGAGGTTAGCCACTTTCACATTGTCCAAGCAGATCACAAGATTGGACGTGCTCCCCACTGATAACATGTCACTTTGCTATTTCTGAACATGTCTGCTTATCTTTTGAAAGTTTATGTGAGAGAAATAACAGTAACTCTGCCTAAATTTTCTATAAGACCATTGTGAAACAGACATATTTGGGGTGAAGCTCCTACCAACTAAGTTACATTTGGACAGCATTTTATCAGTGTTGGAGAAGACTGATAGTATAGTAAAGAGGATTGACATTTTTATGTTTCTTGGGTTATGTGGGAAACTAGCATAACTCTTCCCACCAACTTCCACAAAAATGTTATAAGGAAATATTACCAGCAAGCAGTTGTAGAACCTGAAAGTATCCACATACTATGCAGAGTGGTATTAGAGTAGGCAAAATAGTCAATCTCACTGCAGCTTGTGAAAAAAAAAATTCTGCGCCACAACAAGCATCTGAAAGCAACTATTACATTCGTGTTCATAACAACAGTAATTACTTAATTATTCAGTGTGTCTCTCACACACAAAATCCATGTGGAGCTTCAATCACAACATTTCAGCTGTACCTAACTTTTTTAAACTCTTTGAACATCCCTGAGTATAATAGTGCCGTCCTATCTAGAAACTGATCTACAAAGGTACCCAAACATGGGCGTTTGCAGAAAATTAAGGAGCCAATATTAAGCCTGAGATGTCCCTGACAAAGGAAAGTGCAATCTTGCTTTAAAGTAGTGACTACAGCTTTACAGAGGTAACATGGGACTGGTAACAGATAGTTCTAGAATCTGAGAAACAGGAACAAAGAATATGTGGGGAAAACTGAACTTGCTCAAAAGATCTGGCCTTATTATGAAATGTTTCACCATCTATAAGTATTTATACTTCAAATTCAGGGACAAGTTACAATTATCAGAAGACTGGGGAAGCCAAAAACATTGATACAATATAGCGGGAACCATTTTGGAGATAGTAGCTATGTCCAACTTCTAATCTTCAGTATAGATTTTGTGTCCAAATAGGAACCATAGTTGAAAATAAATGGGATGCAAGAGGAAGCTGGGAGCTTTGTCTGGAGGTCTTTAAAATCTGCTCTGACACAATAAATGGCTACAAATGGCAATAATGCCATTTGCCATGCTTGCTTAGAACAGGTGTGGAAACAAGTTCAATGTGCTGTTATCTGGTGTAAAGATTTCCAAAGACTATCTACTTGGTTTATCACTGCAGATGATGCAATAAGGAAAAGGCAACCTTGGTATCATAAAAATGAAGGTCAAATATAATAATGATAGATGGAAATGTAGGAAACATCCTTCCTAGAGAAATTTAAGGATACTACTTTCTATAATCCTCAAAAGGAACTGAGATGATGAGCAGCACCTTCCTGCATATATGGCCTATTTGATAGATGTTCTGCACTGATGCAGTACCCACTTGTTAAAGCACAACAGTCACAAATATCTATTTTGTATTCAGAAAGTATAAAGAAGAAGAAAATACATTACTGTACTCAAAAACCACTGTGGAGGAACTTATGGAACTTTAATCCAATTTGCAATATGAATATAAAACTTAAAGTGAATACTATAATAATAAGATGACCAATAACTCTTATCCGACAAATATTATGCTATATTCACATTTCTAGCAGTAAAGAAAGAGGGCTATTTCAGTTTTATACATTAAAATAGATTTTACCCAATTCAAAAGATTTTATTTTTGAACTTGGTATCATTTAAACTGAATCTAACAGCTTTGAAATACCAGGGATTAGGATTCCCTATTCATAAGTATTTATGTTTACTTAAATACTTAACATATATTATACATTAGTTTATTCACGATCTAATCATACCATAATTTTCTTGATAAAATCTTAAAAACATATGGGATATTTTTTAAAATAGGTTTTGCTCTCTATGATTATTTCTAACATTTGACATTCATTAAGCAGTGAACCTATAATGTTTAGCAGACAGGACCAATTCAGCTGAGAACCTTCCATCAAACTGTAACACAGACTGGTGAGTAGAATGAATTTTCTGCTGAATTAGAAACACACAAACTCAAATAAACCAATTAAATCCACCCATTTTAAGATATTCTGTAGTCAGAGTCAACACAGCTGGGAGATGCAATAGGATGACCTCTCCTTATAAAAACAGGTATGCATTATTCACAGACCAAAGTCAGGTTACTTTTCATATATTTTATTCTAAGCCATTGAGATACTATAGTGGAATATGGCTAATAAATAAATAAATGGAAACACTTCTCTTTAAAAGCATTGGCAATTCTTTATGATAAAAAGCAAAAAAGTAGCTTAGTTTCATGCTTTCTATTTTTAAAAAATGCTCTATTAAACACACTGAGAAGGTCAGAGTGGGATGGATTACAAGGCAAACAATCACGGAGCGATCAGAGTGGTCCTGTGTGATGAGATTTGCAATCTATCAGAAAGAGTGAGTCTGCTGGCATTCTATTCCTTCTTGGGTATAAAGGCATAGAGTCTAATTAACAAACTTGCTGATAAAACAAAGAGCTTTTTAGCAGGGATTCTGGCATCCATTAAAACCTTAATCCAAAACCTGGTCCTTGACAGCTATGTCTATTCAAGACAAATAGTTCTTTTGTGGCCCTTGAACTGTTGTTTTTGAGATTGTAAGGCCAATATAAATAGTATGGCTACTCTTGCTTAATCTACAAAACAGGATGCTTTAACTCTGCACTCTCTGATCTAGGGCAGACAGAGCCACTGAACTTAGGAAAAGCTAGTTAAACAGTTACTGAAACCTTCCCCCTTCCCCAAAACATCCCAAATAAAAAAGGGAAATGGAAAAAATTGAACCTTACAAACCAAATAGTCAAGGAAGTTTTCTTCTGACCGCTGCCACCATTCTTAAGAAGGAATATTGATCTTGGACTGATTCTTACCTTGCTGAACTGGCCAACTATATGTTTCAGGATATTGGGAGGAGCATCATGTAGCAAGGGCTCAAGAGCTGACAGATGAGTACACTTCTGTAAAATGTTCTTCAAGGCTTTCTTAGCCTATCAAAATACAAAATGTCCTCAGTAAGACATCAACAGACAATAGCTACTTACAGTGTAAAATTAAATTTGCATTATTTCTACAAGGCAAAAAGCTGATAACTATTTTCCAAGCACAATACCTGAAACATACTTCCTGCAAATGTTTAAAAATTATTTTGGAAAGTAGCATTATAATAAACCTATAAATGTACATTAATGGAATTTTTTAAAATGCCAATAATAATAACCCTATTTTTATTTTGGATTATGTGGGTTTCATTTTGTAGATCCAGTGAATTTAGAAGTTCAAATACTCATTCTATTGGTAAGCTAGGAACCATTTTTTTGATTCCTAGCATACCAATAGCAAAGAAAGACAGACTTACTCATGTTCTAACCCTAACTCTAATCCTTTTATGTAGTTTAAAAATATTTACCACTTGATTAAACTTGAAGGTTATATTTACTGAATTATTAAATCACATGGACATAAAGGACATAGACTGGCCAACATTTGAAATGATTTGACAAGTGCTATAATTTATGAGTACAGCATTCACTTAAACAAAAAAAAAGTTCCCAGTTGAGTCCTAGGTACGTAACTGCACAGCAGACCAATCTTAAAGATCTGATTGAATATTTGAGCTTTATAGATTCCTTTAGCAGTTGGTGCAAAACAACCTCTGGGCCATAATATAAGCAGCAGTCTGTGTGGTAAATGGAACAGGTTGATATCATTCTATTCCATATGCCTGCTACAAAAATTTAGAATGCCATGATGTACCCCTCCCTCCCTCCCTCTCTCTCTCTCTCTCCCCACCCCCTTCTTTTTTGGTGGAACACTGAAAGATGCACACATGGAATGTCTTAGGACCATCACTACAGTTTCCCGTTTAAAGACAGTTGTTCTTTGGAGATCAGAAATACTTTGTCACATTTAATGGCTAAACTTACACATTTGTTTAACTACATTCATCAAATAAACCATATTAGGCTAGTTTAAATAAGCCACAAATATGAATTGTAAAACATAACAGCTGGGTTCATATACCAAACTAAACCAAACTCCCCAAACTACATGAAGTTTATTGGTCCTAAAAAATTAAGGCAATATATGATAAACCATTTCCACCTTCTGCAAATATCTTGAATTACTGACATATTGCAGGACATTTACAGTTACTTCTCTATCAAATACTTTTCTCATATATAATGAAGCTACAAAAAAAACAAAAAACAAATACAGGGTCCAAGGAAGCAGCTTCATAAAGATACCAGCAATGAGCAACATATGGTAATAGGATTTGAATGGAGTATGACAAACACATTTCTATTTTCAGCTATGATATTTTGGCGGATATATATTCTCCCAGTGATAATCCATTAGTTCTAAGGGTTGACACCAGTTTACCAAAGCAAAGAGGGTTTAACCCATCATTGAAAAGTTTCTCTTTCCATTGTCTACTTCATGTGCTGCATTGAAGAGAAGCAGGGCAATGGTTTGTAAGGCAAATTATGCCAGTGGTACTAAGAGATCATTGGGAGAGGATCTCAGCATTTCTATGAGATTTCCATATGTTTCTGCAAATCACGTATTTAATCCTGAACTGATCTGGTCCCAAAGGCTCTAGCCCTCTCTGCCTTGAAATATACATTCTGAAGAGGGTTCTGAAGAGCATCTGGAGAAAAGTAGAATATCTGAACTGTACAACTTTAGCAGGTCGTATAACGCTATGCTATCTGTACCATGAGGACTGGGAAAACTTCCTCTATACTTCAGCTAACAAAGTTTGCTCACAGTCTACACCAAATGTCATCAGCTTGAGACTGCTCTCTACAGATACATCTCAAGGCACCACCTCTCAGCACGTCACAGACCATGAGAATAAAACATTGAAATAAATATTTTATGATTGGTTTCATTGATAACTTTAGCTGGATAACTGTATGTTCTGTAGCCTAGAAAATTAATAAATTCAACTCAGACAGAAACACCTTCATACATAGAGGGAGAGGAAATCAAACATATGGATTCTTAAAGTTTATGTAGCTTTGAATGTTTCTAAGGTGAGGGATATAATTTACATTTTTTTATTATTTTTCAAGTGTCAGTCTCTGACTTGCACACTTCTATATACATTGATTTGCATATTATATACTAGCTACTCTCGACAAAAGGAAGCAAAAGTCTGGAGAGGCCTCAAAACTTTCCATGACTCACTCAGTATGATGTCATATCCCTTGCAACAGAAATGGTAAATACCAACACTGATCTTAACTGTGTTTTTCTTGGAAAGAAGGCCCAATTGACAGGTCACTGAGCACTGGGGGGAGCTATTTCCATGTAGCTTCTTCCCTGGCTGTTTTGATTATGACTGATCCACACAAAAATCAGAATGAAATGATAGGATCCTTCATTTCAAATAAGATGAGGTGAGTATATTTGTGAAGTTTTTAACAAATTTAAAAAGAAATACCTGCAAGCAGAAAATTACTACAACTCAACTTACTGTTCACTCTAGTTTTCACTGAAAATAATTTATTCTTTCACACAAAAGCACTTGATTTCAACTAGAAGTCATCTCTACTAACTCAAGGTTCATCTCATTCTAAATTACATATCAACTCAACCAAAGTTTAGAATAAACCTCATAAATTGGAGGAAGATAGTTCATGTTTAAAAACCACATGTAGTTTTAAACCCATATTTTGTGCTCTACAAATATATGTCCTCAGTCTAAATGTAGAAATAACTTGTAGTAACATAGAAATTGGCCCTGAACCACAGATTTTTCAATAGGAGATACTGTTGCTTAGTATTCCATAGGTCGTAAATTATACGAGATCCTGAAAAAAAGCTGCCAGTCAGAAAAGATAATGCTTGGTTAGATAACATATAATAAGAATTCCAAGTCCAATGGGTCTTGCTTCTCTGTAACTCTAAAATGGAATATTATCATACTCCCCCCAAAAATTAAAATTAAGCACTGTGTGACATGTACTTATAAAGTTTGGTATCTATTTTATTTGCAAAAATGGCAAATAGCTTGTACTAATTATTTAACCTATGCAATTAACAGTAACATTCATTGTAGTTTTTAACTAACATCTTTTCTCCCATACTACAGGTAATTGTCTTAATTATCTTACCAATATTAAATGAAGGAAAATATAGAAGGGACATTTCCAATGAGTCAGGGACTACGGCTCATTCTCCTAATCTCCAGGAAGGTCATGGGACAGCAATGCAATGAGATCACCAGAACAATCATGATTAAAATATTATATCCCCTAGTTGGTATTTTTAAAAAATCTAAGAAAATGGGAACAGGAGAAACCTGGCAATAAGTCGTTACTATTCCATTATTAACTCTTCCTACATAATCATGAAGAAATGCCCCCAGATTGTGACATTCAGCCATTTAACTGTCAAAATTTTAGTGACATTTCCAAAGACTGGTACTACAAAAGAGTTGCATGGGGAGCTTGAAAACAACTATGGGGTATTCACATATTATTATTCAACCTATCTTTCCTCAAAGCTTAAAGAGAAGCAACAGCATTTCAGGTTTATAAAACTATGATTTTTTTAAAAGTGTAACATGTTCTGACATACATAATCAGATTAGCAAGATGCCTTAATAATTAAAAATATTAAACTTTCATAAAACTTACCATATATAAAATGTAACAAAATAGTGTTAAAACTTACTAAAATTGAATATTACATTTAAAAACTGAAATAAACAACAGCAACAATGTAATTCATACATAGGTCCTGCATAGAAATTCCCATAAAGCTCTGAGGCCTTTCAGAGGCACTTCTTCTCTTCCCAGGATTTAAAAGCCATGTCAGGAGGCAGGAAAAGAACTTGGTAAGGACTATGATTTAGCATTAGAGCACAAAGTTTTGGATACATTAGGTCCTAGAGGCCTGAAAAACTGTTGGCTTGCAATTCTGGAGACCAGTTGTCAGTAGCATCAGCAATACCACATTAAACAATCCAGTGAGTTCACTCAGTTTAAAGCAGAACTTATGGAATTAGATAGCAACATTGGGGTTTCTGAGCCTCCCATTGTTTAATGTGAATACAGGTATTGTGGCATAATTAGAACATAGGTTCTCCTCTAATACTCTCTCCAATTCTATATGAAGTATGCATGCATAATTTATCATTAATTCCATAGTCATTAATATCCTCATTCATACACACATATTTATATCTAGCTAAATAAAGCCAACTCAGTGTCAGGGTTCCAAGTAACACCCCTAATGAAAGAAGACTCTGAGGCTTGAAGTTCCTCAAAGTTCCATTTTATTAGAGATGTCTTATTGACACATCTGAGAAAACCCGAATCTGAGAGTTCCAGATTTTCTCTACCCAAAAGAAACTCAAAGATCCATCCCCTGCACCTACAAGTCCATCACATGGTCCAATCAATTCACTGTCCCAACTGGAAACCCCACCCCATCACTCCCTTCCAGGTGCAGGCTGAATGCCCTTGACTCTCAGCGAAAGGAATGCTGTAATAGCTAATTCTCCACCAATCCTTGTTATTCCCTCTCCCGTTTTCCCAGGCGCTAAATGTGGCAATTCTGAAGCTCTAAGGAAAAAGATGGCTTCTAGGGCTGACACTTAGTTCATCAGTTAGGTTTTCATATATATGGCTCTAGTTTAAAGCTTCAAACAAGTATAGTGATAAAGCCAGATATTTTTTTTAAGATATAAAGTTAGATTTTCAAGTTGCATTCTTCCTGCTAGTCAAGAAGCATTATTCTCCAAATAATAAACCGGGTTTCTTGAAAGTGATTCCTCTAATACTCCCTAAAAAACATATTCAAACACTTACATATTCCAAAAGTTGTTCCACATTTCACTACACAGTAACCTCTAGGAAAATCTAGTTAGCCCACGCCTTCCAGTACAGGTATTATCATACTCAAAAATACTTCTGTATAACAACCTGGCATTAATATATTCAAAATATTTTACACTGATATATTGTTTATTTTAAATAATAATTGGTTTTAATTCTTGTAAGGATTGTTTTTCTTTATTTTATCTAATTATTAGCTAAATTATATCTGAAGGAACTGAAGAGCAAGTTATAATGTACAGAAATCAACACATCTAAAAATTATTCTACATTTCTAAATGAATCAATATATACATGCACCTTGGCAGCTACACCTTAATTGAATGGATCAGAGCCTCACTGCTTGATTAAATTTAACAACAGTAAAAATGATGGAGCTCATTTACTTTGACCTGAAGATCTTCTGAACTTTCAGATGCCATATACAGGGAAAGCAATACAGGTAAGACGCTGGCTACAGCAACAGCACGGGCATGTTCTGGAGTATGTCTTCCAATCTGTCCCAATGACCAAGCAGCTGCAGCCTTAATATGATCTTCTGGCTCTTCTGACAAGCAGATAGCTAGCTGTGGGACTCCCTGTGATATTAAACAAAAGTATAAAGCACTGTGAAACAAAAAAAAGATATGGAGGAGTATTGTGTACAAATTGCAGGGTGCTGGGATAAGGCAGTGCTAATACAAAATATCCCATCTTGTTTGTTCATAACCATTCCCTCTATATACACATTACTCAGCCCAAAATATTAGAATAGTCTGCAATGCATATACTCTGCAGGTAAAAGTTCAAAACATTATGGTTCATCACATAGTCACCAAGATCTTTAGATTGAATTTGGCATTTTTATCCACCAATTGAATCCCAAAAACATAGGAGAAGCAGATGTTGTTTAAAGTGTTAAAGGTATCATCATCATCACAAGATGCAAACTATTCCTAGTGGAACTGCCTTTTGCAATTATATCATTTTAAATCAATGTGACATCACAGTTGTCACTTCTTTAACTTCTCTTGGTCTTCATACACATCAAATTCATCCCAAGAAACTAGCATATCATAATGTATTGCTCTGGTATATGTGTGTATCCAAGCAACATGGCCTTTTGCAATTGACATATGGAAATTTTTGTCAATGCACAGATTTTGTAAGTGTTAAGGGTTTTTGATATAGTATCCCATATGCTGATAACCATAGGGATCACCACAACCTATTTATTTGTTTGTTTGTTTTATATTGCCGCCTATTCGCCCATGGTGACTCAAGGCATCTTACAGAATATAAAACCACATTTATGCCATAATATTTCAATTTCAGCTTTCAGATCTTTATACTTTTCCAATTCTTTGTCTTATCTTTTACTATCCCCTGGTATTGCCACATTACTGTAATTATCCACTCTTTCTTCTTTACAACCACAGTTGTATCTGGAGTGTTATGAACTGAGACAGTCTGTCTTTGGAAATCCCATAATATTTTAACCTTTTGATTGTTTCAACTCTGTGTTCCATCAATTTTTCATTACTTACTAGTATGATAATTTTACAGATGCTCCAATAAATCATTTTTTGACTGTGTTAGGTCGTTGTTTAGGATCAATTAGTGCAATCTTATCATTACTGAACACTACAAATGTAAGCTTCACTACAATACTAAATCTGCTAGCTTAATGAGACATGAATATTAAGAGCTGACACTTTTATTGTTTTCAAAATGTTTCAGGGAGCAGATGCCACAAATGACACTCAAAGGAAAAATAATGCCAGCCTTTTTATCAGGGCTGAAAATCCTAAGTTTCAGGTTTCCTTCCCAGGTTTTCCGGAGGGCAGCTAAGCTTCATCTTCTATTCATTTCAGTATGGCACTGTCTTGAGTCTCACTGAAAGGCATGTAAGGGTGTACACTTAATATATGAGATAGCTGCAAATTTCCTCTCATTTGCTTTTTCCTCCATCATGTAGGAATATATTATATATTTGATTCTTTATTTTTCCTTTTGTTCACTGCACACAATACATTTAAGTATCACTTAATAAGTTATTATTCACGTGCACGCTGACCCTTACGGAATAGATTGAAACTTTCATCATGTCAGATTGCCTTATAGTCCTGCCAATTTTATAATTACGATACTTTGTGCCTACACACATACTCATAAATTAACACATTTTATGTCCACTAATAATCATTTTATGAATTAAGAGAGAGAAACAGTATTATCTATATCTGTAATGCACACAAAATATTTAAATTTTGTATTAGAACCTCTTGGAAGCTGAAAAAGCTCACATAAAAAACCTTCATTTAAATGTCTGCCCAAATAAACAAGCCTAAAAAAATCAAATGATATTTAAATTTTTGGAGCCTATTTTATGGCTTATACATTCAAGAAGGTTTCAGAAGAGCATGTTCTTTTTTTCAGATGGACTAGGTTTGGGTTTCTTTTCTACTGAACCTAATTTTATATCTAAAAATATAATAGAAACAAAACCCACTCTCTGATGCAACAGAAGATAACTAATTTATATATTCTCATTTTAAAGGCAATTAAAGCTAGACATCAAATATTTATTTTAATAAAATATTGGTACTCTTCTTTTTCCTATTTAAAAAATGCAAGTCAATTAGCATCTCATGAAAATGCAGAAACTCTTGATAGCTAGCAAACTAATCCATATTTTTTTAAATGAACCAGGCCCAAAATTCTGCTATTTTCCTGCATTTCAAGAACAAGAAATAAGGCATCTAACTGAGGTGATTGTACCATTTTATAAAAAAATTGGTATTTTTGTTTTGTTAATATAAAAAGCTACCTTGAATAAGACACGTACAAGCAATTTACATAGTTTCCTTATTTCCAATAATCTGTGTTCACTAAACATCTCTAGGTTTATACCGTATGTGGGATGTTTTAAAGAAAAATAACAGACTATTGATAAACAAACTAAACATAATATATTGTTGCTTTAATATCCCTTTGATTTCAGAGTCAGTATGAGAAATACATGTATGATTCATAGTACTGTTAATGGGATACAGGCACATATGTTTAAATGTACCTGGGTTGTACTATTATGTCAATATTGTGGTGACTCAAATAATGGGATCAAAACTCTGTGTGCATGTGTGTTTATGTGTGTGTGTGTGTGTTTTATATACAGATAACTTTTTTCATACCAAAATATTTTAAACACTTTTAAACAGCTTACAAGCAAACAATACATGAAAAATCCAACATTTCAAAGTTCACTAAACTAAACAGCACACACTTTTGTCAGTATTTGTACAGCAAGTTATATGTATTTCCATATTTATTAAGTTATAAAAGCAAGTGGGTACACAAAAATATATTTAATGTTTATACTATTTATGGCCTACCTTCCCTTAAAAGGAAAATAACTTCCTTTGCCTTTTCAATTTATTCTCAAGGCAACCTTTAAGACAAGAAAGACTGAGCAATTGGCCCAAGGATGGCTGTTACATCACAAAAATCCTTCTTATAAACATATTTATTCTTTGCCTTTGGCTAATGTTTTGTCCCTGACCTGTAATAATAATCATATGTACTCAAGCCAACTTCTATAAACAGCATTCTGATTGTAACATTGGAAGGCCCAGAAACTAACCTTAGAGATAATCACTGCCATGGCCAGGTTTTCCGAGTGAGCAGCTACATAGCCCAACATCATAATACCTGGGAGTCTAACATTTCCTTTGCAGCTACCAATGCAGTCAATGATGGCAGCTACTCCTCCAGCATTTACAATAAGTTGTGAAAGCTGAAAACAAATACAGTCAGGAGATTCTATCATTTCACATGACTACCAAACTATATCATTACATGTTTTTGTTTCTAAATTATTATATATTGAATAAATATTTAATGAGACACACAAATTAGAAAAAAGAATGTAATGCATACAGTTATCTACTTCATATGCCTTCAAGAGTTTAATATTTAATTTATTTTAATTATGTCCTCTTTATTTTTTTTATCATTTGGAATGTTGCTAACCATCTTGTTTGTTCTGGTGAGATGGAATGAGAGGTATAATTTAAATAAATTAAAATAAATAAGCACTACTAAGAAGTGGTACATATCAATTCTGTGCAAATAAATGACTGTTTTTAACTAAGAATTAACTGTCTTCTGCTATTTTAAAGTCTAAGAAAATTATTATGGCCTGCACTTTCTAAGTTGTCATGCCGAAGTTACAATGTAACTTAATATAAATAAGTTACAATAAGTTAATAATATAAAAAACCAATTAAACCCAGAATTTTGATCCACAGAGATTAAGCAAACTAGTGCAGTTGAATGGAGAAATTTTCTAATTTTCTGAAACTATTTGAGCCAAGAATTAATAGATCAGGACTTAGTTGAAGTATATCTGAAAAAAGCTGGAAACAATCAAAGGTTTTAGACAACTAACATGCTTCCAACAATCATTCCCTAAAGCCAAGAAATAAAACTCATTAAAATATAGCTGTCATACTGCAATTTTTATAAAATGCTTAATATGATATTGTACATGTTCTATTGTGAGTATATATTATAGCATGGAGGAAAGTATCTGCTCTGTTTTTGGAAATATATGTAGCATTCAACATTGCATGTTAATGCTCTGAGAATATATTTATATAGGCATCATTTTCTAGTGCTAGTACTGGTATGCATCTCTAAACAGGTCAATCTGTAAATTAAAGAGCTTATCAGAGGCCTGCCTCTGGATTACAAGATGTCATAGAAAAAGGCCTTCTTAAGGATAAGGTTGTAATTTAGACTTTTCACTCTAGGGAAGCCCTTTCTCTTGTCCCCTGCCTTGGGGTAATTAGTATATAATGTGCAGAATAACCACAAAAAAAGAAGCAGAAGTGGGCAGTGATGCATAGCCCAACACTCTTAAGTGGAATTTCAGTCAAGGAGTGGGATTCAAGGCATTTGATGAAAATAAAAAAGGCAGCTGTATCCAAATATCAAGCAATTATCTTCAGAGTGTGGCAGTTTGTTTAAACAATATGGAACATCATCAGCAATGAGGAATGTTCTAGAATACATCCTGCTGTGCCAGATGCTGGTCTCAAGACCCATTGCCTGTGGTCTGTCAAGGTGGTTTTGGCATCAAACTTTGTTTTTAAAAAATCCTCAAGCCTTGTACTAAAAGCCTTTTAGTACAATTTGATCAGTGTCACTTTGGCTGTTCTTATTTTTTTATAGCTATCCTAGTGAATTTATATTTCTGGAATGATTTATTGGGCATTTTAAAAATAGGCTATTTTCTAGGCTAAACATCAACCAGACAAACAAATATTTTGGCTACATTTTGACCATATTATGGTCTGGCTACTTCATAATTCCTACCAATTAGCTGTCTTTGTAGAGACTTCTCTCTACTTTCCAATAACATCTGGCAAGTCAGTCACTGCAGAGCTGGGCAATTTATGCTGCACGTGACAGAAGTTTCGGCAGTTAACTGGCTTTAGGATGCCTGCCAAGTGCGTGCTGCGATCCTTTGACAAGCAAGTTATCAACAGGATTCCCTCAAGATCAAAATAGCGCCTCCCAGCAGAGGGCCGGTGAGAGCGAAAAAGTCTGGCATCGAAGCCCACGGCCAGAACCAGCGAGACTGACATTCGGCAGGCCCCTTCCCCCACCATTGCAGTTTCAAATGCCAGGGCTTTTAGACCCACAGCGAGGACTCCTGCAGAGACCGGGCTCTGCGGCACAAAGGAAGTTTAGACCGCAGCGGCGAGTCCCCAAATCTTTCTACCTCCTTCGCCTTTCATTCCCATTCGACTCGCAATATCTCCTCCAGAGATCGGGGGCGGCAAGGGATAGGGGACCTTTCACTCAAGCCCTGAAGCACCTGAGATAATGAGGATATTGAATTTCGGTGAGAGATTTTGAGGCTTAAATTAATAAAAAGCTCTTTATAAAGAGATCCTGGTGAGCTGTTAAGTGTCCCTGAGCCACGCGAAGGGGGAGGGGAGAATTTATACTCCCCAATACACTTCATTCTTTTAACCCAATATAAGCCCTTGGACTGACTTGGTTATTTCTGTGGTGCCTAACTCCTAGGAAGCTCTGTAGGACTACTAAAGGTTTGTAGAGTATCTTCTCCTGATTTACTGGTACCAGGAAACCAGTTATTTCAGAGTTGGCAAGAAATAGTTATGGGATGCATAATTAACAAAATACATTTTGTGAAAATGGATGAGCCTCCTCTAATGATTTTTTTCTTTGTCAATCTTCTTTCTATTACTTCCTACTCTGCCAATCCTCACAGGTCCATAGGTTATGCCCTATTTGGATCTGCTCAGCAGCTGTATGGCCATTATTTAAATATTTCCAGTTCAGAACACAGGAGGCATTTTCTAGACCACCCAACAATCATCATCTTACTAAGGCAATTCCTTTTTAAAAAAAAAACTACCCAACACCTAGCATAACCACCCAACCACCCATCCTGCTAAATATACAGGAATTTTTTTTTTCATTTTGTTCACTGTACTCTGAATTACAGACTAGGGATGTTTTATACTTTATTATTACTTTGTACAGATCATCCCATATAACTGAATTTTTAAATATATCTGACATGTTAATATCCACCAATAAAAAGCTGAACTTGCCAATTTTGATTTTTTTTTTACATATTTGTATTCTATGCATGCCCCAAAACAGCAACAAACATTTCTTTTTTATTTATATCAAAAATAATAGAGAATTTGCATAGTTATAGAACAATAATGAAGATCTTGTGCATATCTATATCTGTCATTTGTAGATGCATGATTGTATACTCATGGGCATGCACACATACACACTTAAACATATTCACTTATATACAAACATCATGACCTTGTGTTTATATTCACATGGTTTACCTCAGGAGTATGTCTTGCTATCTCTCTAATTAGAGTTGCAGCATTTTTCTTGACATATTCATCAGAATCCTTCAGGCACGTGAGTACAACAGGAAAAATTTCTGCTTCAACCACCATTTCTGCCAGATCCACAGAGTGCTTTGCTATCTGACTAAGAGCTGACAGCACCTGACGCTGGTAAACAGGAATGAGTATTTTATAAATGGTTATTGAGTATACAGACAAAGCAATCAAAAGGAGGCAGAAAACTCTCTTTCAAACTGTGAAGGCATGACCCCATCAAAATATATAATTTCAAAACAAAAAAAAATGATAAAAATAAAAACATAATTTTCAATAGCGAATATATATATTCACCTGGAAGAAAACTTTTCTTAATTAAGTGAACCTATTTTAACTAGTTTTATGGGTTTTTTTTTTGTTTTATAGAATATAAATGGACAGCCACATAATTCTTTTAAAGAAATAAACTACCATAACTATAATTAGGAAATGGAATTTCCAGCAATTCAAAACGGAAGCCAACACATGCTATTTATTGCTTTCTTTTAAAATCCATACATATTAAACATTGTTTTTTATTAGGATAGACCATACAGCTCTTCATCAACTATTGGCAGTTAGCTTACAATGTTTGAAATAAATATGTTATAAACCTGTTGCGTTTGGTGGGGGGGGGGGAAATCACTCTATGTTAACAGTCCTCCCCCAAAAGAAAACTACCAGTATACATGGGACAAAGAGAATTTATTTAATTTTAGATACTAACCATTGTTATTGTGCATAATTTTCTATTAAGCCAAAGGTCCCCCCAGAGCATGTTAATAAAAATCTAGAGGCTTGTACCTACTGTATGACATTTACCTGACTTATTCAAAGATGCATGTCACTGAAGTAATTTAGTTTCCAAAACAAAATATTGTAGAGTATAGCATTATCATTTTAAAAGCACAAAAAATGGTAAACATATTTAATACTTTATAAATTACACATACTGAATTCATTAGAACCAGCAAGTTTTGTAGAATTCAGAAAAGCTCTTGAAGATAACTGCTACAAATCTATCTCTCATTGCTAAGAATCCAAATAATCACCATATTAAATGCCCTGTTTCTTATCCACCATAAATACTATAACAATCACATCAAGCAATCATATCCCCCCTTTGTTACCATGCCAATTTAGCATTGCATATTTTTGAAAAAAGTTCATTGAGGATTAATACAGCTTCTCCAATATAGAATCACACTCTCAGTTGGAAAAGAGCAAAATTAGTTTGGGAAGTACCTTTAATTTGGCATCAGGATTGAGGATCATCTGTGCCAAGTGAGCAATGGCCCCAGCATCAACGACCGTCTGCGCTAACTCTGGAGAATGCTTTGAAACATCACTCAATGCTGAAGCAGCAATCCTTCTCAAAGCAATCTCTGGCTCTTGGATACATAGGACTAAGAGTGGAATAGCTCCAGCATCCACCACAGCCTGTGACAGTTCTGTTGGTCCAATGAAAGTAATTAAGCGAATATGGGTGACTGACCCTTGTACAAGCCATTTTTCACCTTGACAGATACAGCAGGAGAGAGAGAGAGAAGGGAGGGTGGACTCTAGTCTTTGGACATCTGCATTTCAAATCAGCCCTTCAAGTTTCATAAACCATGTGGACCAGTCCTGAGCCGAAAAGAATACAGGTCAATAGATGGACCTCCACTTACGTGTACACATTTAAGGTACATTAGACTGAAATGGCTTGCTACCCTGTGTATGTGCACACGTGTGCATTTGTAAAAAGTAAGCAGATGTCAGCTGTTTAAGGTCCGACTGTTGTGCACTGATCAATAAGCAAGCAGTTTTTGCACTGCTAACAATAAAGAAAAGCCAAAATACCTAAATGTGTCCCCTTCTCTCACAAATCTGATTTAGACTGGAGATTCTTTGCCCTATTCATACAAGAAATAGAAAATAACAGGTCTATATTACATTTGATTTTTAATTTCATTAAAAGTGATATCACCATTCATTCAAAGATCTAACTTGCTAATTCTGAACACCAACATACATTTTAATGATATCTTTTTATCAGTAAACTAGATCTTTTCCTACATTAAATCACTGCAACAGACATTAAGCCACCATGGCCAATTAATTGTATCTTAACATAAAAATCCACAATAATTGATACAGACTCTATTATACCAAATATTCATTACCCTTCTTCCAACATATTTATCATTAAACTTCAGTAGTGAGGTAAAAAAATTACTGGATAGCAAACACAAGGATTAGAGCATGGGACATTTTTGCAGATGATGAAAAATGAGGACAAATCTCATTAATTTCAAATGGGCTATTATAAGTTCTTAAATAAGGTTTTGTTAGGTCTTCCCCTTGTTATGCACATAGTCTCTTATCTTTAACATTTAACCTGCCTTGCATTGCCATGGCAACAAATAGCTCTCGTAATTCAAGGGTCCAACTTTGATTTTGCATTTACAGTTCATCAATCAAAGCTTTCTGCAGAATTTTCTTAAGGGGGGGAATGCCCACAAACTGATTATCCACTTACCTACTTACTCATGTACTATATTGTATATATTTATTAATTTTCCTACAGTGCGCTAAGGTAAAAAAACTTTTTACTTGTGATAAAATTTGTTCAACTTATATAATTGAAATACAAATGTTGTTTTATTATATTTATAAATATTGTTATATTGTAATACATTTTTGTCATGATCTAAACCTCTGCTGCATTTACAACTTCACCCTACTTTATTCCCAATATGAAACTCTGTCACATATCTAAATAATATGCTATTTGTCATAAAAGCTGTTTGTGTACTGCAGGTACGTGTTTATAAAGTATTTCCCCTTGGTAAATGTGTATTACAGTAGCAATAGGCACATAATTTATTTAAAGTAGAAGCCTCATAAAAAGGAAATATATCTAAAATTCCTTTTATAATCCGTCTCAAAAATTAATACTGAAATACTATCCAAATGGGCTGAAAGAAATTTCAGCAAAATACTAAAACCATTTTAATAAAAGCTCCCCCCCAACAAGCTCTTAGCAACTAATCTCAAATTTTAAACAGTAGAAGATAAAATTATAACTGTAAAGTAACTATACTACTATAAAGAGGTTGAATAAACTTTTTTTAAAAATCTAAAATAGGGGTGTCAAACACAAGGCCTGAGGGCGCGATCCAGCCTATGGGGTGCTTAGATCTGCCCCATGGGGCTGCCCTGGAAACTGAGAAGGACTAGCCTGCAGTGCCCCTGCCAGTGAAAACAGAGCTTACGAGGGCCATGGGAGGCCCTTCTGAGCTCTGTTTTCACTGGAAGAGGGTTGCAGGAGGCTGTCACAGCTGAAAACTGACCTTGGGAACCCTTTTTCACTGGCAGAGTGCTCAGGCCACCACAGATACTCCTGACACGAGTGACGTTAAATGCTTAAATCAGGGAATCACATCCTCCTTCGCCTCAAAATTAAGTCTTCTGGTATTAGAACACATGACTGGACAAGACTGCATAGTAAAGTCTATCTCTGGTTTCTTAAACTGATTTTGTTTTTTCAGTCCCCAGATTCCTAAGTCTCTCGGGAATAGGGCAGCATACAAACTGAATAAATCTAAATTCTGCAGTAGCAAAACACCAAAACACAATTAATTTCCAAAATGATAGCAAATAAAAAAGCACAAATATTAGAATAAATCTAACACACCTTAACATATTTTATAACTCTTATTCCTCAAAAATCTTAGTTTCACCCATTCATTATCATTTTAATATATCATAGGTCATTAGACATTAAAATTTATATAAAAGAATATTAAAAGCTTCATAGTGGTGGGAATAAGAAATCTGTATTTTCTTTCTTCCTCAACATTAATTTGACCATGTTCAATCTCTGAATCACCTATTGTGACTTTTGTTCCAGGATGATTTATAGCCTTGATTAGAGACTGGAATACATGTTACATTTTGCTAATGTATCCTGCCTTGTTTTATTATATGGCCATCTTGAATTCAGTTTCCATATTGCCTGCTAAATCAAGATCAGATAGGTCAAGGAGTTAGGAATTACTCAGTTGGCCTAGAATCCAGATGTATATGGAAACTATTTAACCCCCATGGTGGCTATTTTCCTTTGAACTTCAAGATGTGCCTTATTCCCTAAGAAGTTAACAATGATGGTAGATGTGCTAATTAGCTTTCAGTTATCTTTTTTATTAGTTACCTGTGTCATCTGCACACTAACTATCCATTGTTAATTGAGACACTTCAAGGAAATGTTTAGTGATTTGCTATGCCTCTTTTGATATAATTCAAAATCAAGGACTATTGTGATAGGGAGAGGAACTATTCCCCTGATCTGCTGTGTGGTCAATTTTGTGCACTTTGTATTACTGTTTCCATGGTCACAGGTTCTCTGCGTGTCTGAATCTACAATTGCTTCATGATGGGAGAAGAAACATTGCTCTCTAGAAGCATGTTCTGGTAATTTACAAATTCATTGTAACAAGTATTTTACTCTGTCTTCCACTCTTCGCCATTTATAAACTAGAATGATGTACAAGATAGAAATCTATTCCATATCTCTTTGGGGGGTTTTGTAAACAATATTTTCTTTGTCCTAAATAAATCCTCCCCCCCTTTTTTTTTACAAAAAGAAATTCATTATTTTGTTGCTAGTTTGTTTAAATATTTTTTACAAAGAAAAGCTTGTCATTAATAATATAGATGAGCTTAAAAGTATTATTTAAAATGTATCTTTTTTCCAAATTACATTATCATTCCTGATTTCTAAGTGTGTAAGTACACTTAACAAGAAAAACAGTAGTATTAAATAATTTAATCTAAGTCTCCTCGCAATGCTTTCCTTAAGAATATTTGATAACTGTTAGGAGTTGTGCTGTAGAGAATCTGTAATTTAAAATGCAGAATAAAAAATACATAATTACTCCTCCCTTAAAAATTAACCAGTTATTTTAATATCTGCATTACAGCAGTACTGGTCAAGAAATTATAATCCTAATTAGCATTTATATTGATGCTAGAATTACAAAGAAGAGAGGCAGTTCCAATTCTCATTCTTATGTCTTTGTTTACAGAAAGTAAAATGTATGAACATAACAAACAAAAGGATTAGAAGAAAGGGTGGAATTTCAACTGCATATTTTTTTTAATTGTGCCAGTAATCCAACATTATTTCATGCCACTTTTTCTATATATATATATATATATATATATATATGTCTGTGTGTGTGTGTGTGTGTGTGTGTGTGTGTGTGTGTGTTTATTTTGTGCTGATAAATATATATATATAGATATATATGTATTCTAGCAGTTTTTACAATATTGTTAAGCTTGCAGCATTATTCTCCTTTTTAGAAATAGGCTAAATTTGAACCAAGCACATCTTCCTACACAGTCATTGTGTTCCATTTACTTTTCTTAAATCTGATATATGCTATCCATGTCTACTTGCTCATATAGACGGCAAGACCCATTATCTGTTTTCTGTGTTGTTTTCATAATGTAAATACTTGATGCAACCTAAATATCTAAGAAATATCTTACCTGAATTATGTCTTGCTATATAACCAAGGGCCCAGGATGCAGCTTCCTTCACCCCAGGATCAAAATCTTCTAAGCAAATTACCAGTGTATCTAGAGCTCCACAATCCACTATTGCCTGGGCAAGCTGAGGAGAATGCTTTCCAACTGCACGTAATACAAATGCGGCCGCTTTCTTATAAAAACGCTACAAAAGTACAAAAAAGATTGGAATATTTAACCAGGGAGTCTCATCACTGAAAAGAAATGAATCAACTAAATCTATGTAAAAAGGGCAGTATCCAAATTTGAAAAATAAATACATAGATTTATTTAACCTACTTATATGCCATCTGTTATGCAATGCTTCCCCATGCTGTATAAAATTAAAAACACATTTGATATGAAAACAATCTAAGCTCAAAATATAAAAATCCAATTCAAATATTTAAAAAATCACCCTTTGATTTTTCACTATCAAACTAAGCAAAAATGATTTGTATAATGTGCCTAAATAGCAACAAAGTCAGCAGAGGGTTTTTTGTTGAAGGGGAGGGTGTCCCAGTGAATGAATCACAACAATAACAAAAGGCTTTCTATATAAAAAGAGTCTATAGAACAGATGTAATCAGGAAGGCCTCTGATATTTGCAATGATCAAGCAGATGTCCATGAAATAATGTCACTCTGTCAGGAATCCTGATCCAAAGTTATTTTTATAGAACAATAACAAAGCCTTAAACCTTTGGCAGAAAACTGCCAGTGCAATTATTTCAAAACTGGTATTATACATTTGTGCTACATAATAATTTTGCAACTACACTTTGCATAAACTGTAGCTTCTGTACAAAAGGACAGATCCTCATTGAATGATATAACCCAGCAATACAATATTCAACACATGAAGTTACTAATACATAAATCACTGTCTATCTGGTATACACACGCTAAAATAGAGAAGTATTTTGTCTCATTTACATTAGGTATTAAGGTTATAGGATCTTTTTTCCTCAATATGTGTTCTTAAAAGAGCAAGTATGTTTTGTGATAATACAGAAGGAAATTATCAAGACTAGGAATGAAATCTTACTCCTGCAGCATTTATATTTGAGTTCAGAGAATGGAACCACCACAATCAAGGTAAAGGAGGCTGTCTTCCAAAGAAAAATCGTGGGAATTGGTCTTGTAGGAAAATAAATCTGGAGGGGTAACAGCCAAAAGACCAATTTCTGTTTGCTAACATCCAATAATGCATGATTTTGAATAATGCACTTCAATCAGAGGAAACAAAGTAGTCTGTTAAATGTTAGGAAAAACTTCCTAATACTAAGAAGAGTTGAAAAGTAGAAACAATCACCCAGAGAGGGCTCTCATTCACTGCATCAATAAAAAGTAATTTGTTGTGCTTGTTTTAATTTGGAATTCTGCATAGAGCAGGGGCTGGTTCAATGGTCTTAATGAATCTTTTCAACTTTTGTGTTCAAAAGTGATGGATGGACATCATCTAGTTTCCCATAACAGCCAAGTAAAACTTTTCTCATCCTTCACTCTTTGCTTTTATGTGCTGATAGTTTAAATACTGCAATTAATTTATCCAAGGAGAATCTTCTTTGATCATATCATACTTTCCTTAGTAGTTTCTGATGGATTTATAGAATGTGAAGTAAAGCGTAGATTATCAGAGGTCTGCCTTTCATGTGATGAAGGATTTCTAGCTAGAAAAATGCTGCAAAGAAACATAACAAAGCAAAAATAGAAAAATTCCCAGCTGATTATAAGGAAAAAATTAGTTACTTTCTTTTTGCAAACATAGTAGTAGCAGTGGAGTAGTAGCAGTGGAGTAAGTGAAAGTGTATTCAAATTTCTACATCTGCCATTGTATATGCACTTTTTCTTATACTGATGCTCATATAGTTTATATTCATTCAAAATTTCAGAAAGATGATGTGTTTAACTTTGTACCAACTTCTGTTCATTTAAAGTTCCACTAAAATATATAATTTGAATAGGGCTGCTTAACTTTTGCAAGCAACTGTATATGCATGGGGAGGGCATCAGCTTCACCATGCAAAAGGATAGGCCAGTGGACAAATAAGTGAATCAAAAAAATAGCTATCTCTGAATTAGATTGTAAATGTACGTGATAGATTTAAAATGTTGTGTCACCAAGATGCTGTATACCAAAAAGGTAAAGATAACAAAGGATTTACTTCACTAGTCTTTCCAGATCTAGTTGCTCTCAAATGTAATAATCCTCAAGTCTTCTAACTTTCAGTCAGCAAATCCCAAAATTATTCTGACTGAGAATTATGCAGGTGAAATTCAATACTGTACAATTGAGAGGTATTAGTCTTGGAAAAATTATAATCGTTATAACAGTTAAGATGAAACTAGGAAATGGCATTTGTTCATGACATAAATTTGATCTACTACACTTGATCTTAGCCAAAAGGCCGAGAAGTGATAAATAAATCTAAACAAACATCTAAATTTCAAACAATAATAGAAAAATCTTCAAAGAATGGTTTAAGAACTGGGGCTTAAAAGCAAAAAAATACAATAGTTGTATTTTTATTGTATTTGATTTCTGCTGAAAGAACAAATTACAAAGCAATAATAATGTGCTTTTATGTGTGCAAAAAGCATGTGAATTCTTACTTCCAGATAATTATGTTTTAAACAGGAGGTCATTTTTTAAAAAAAATATCGATGGGCGAAATCTGAAATGTTAGCCTATGTGGTCTTCATTCATTTAACTGGACACGAGAAGCTAAATTCCTAATAGATCATATTTATTATTCAAAATATTTAAAGTTTAAAATAAAATACACAAATAGTGACTTATACTTAAGTTGCTTCAGAACCAATGGCATGAATACAAACCAGTCCTGATTCTTTCAAAATTTCCACTACTTTGCTAGACTTTGCACTACTTTTCATACAAATACTGTTTCATACAAAATACTGTTTCCACCAGAACAGAAGCAGTTGGCTTAACATGAATTCTTAAATTTATGTTTTTGGTCTTAGTTATTATCATTCAACAGAATCTAAATAGCAAACTGAAGGCAGCAATTCAGAATTTTATAATAACCCAGGATAAGGATGAAAATTCTTAAACAAAGGAAAATGCAGAGATGGAAAACCCAAAATCAAACACCTGAATTATTATAAAAAAACAGTACTAAAAATAGTAGTAGGAACAGGATTCATAGCATTCAAAAAAGGCATAGTTCTTTGTATTCTTAATTCCAAAAAGACAAAAGACATTATTTTTCCATTTTGAGCAATGCTACTCTACGCAAAGCATTTGCAATCAAGATTTGGAGCTGCTCCCATGATCTCATCATGGCTCTTTTTAGCAGTTCTGATATATGGAACTAGATTTTGCAGAATTAACTCTGAAGCTGGAAGGCAGGCAGTTTCCCATTGTTAGGTATTCTTACTTCATTCCATCTGCTTAATTCTTTCTGCTGAAATCACATACCACCACTTTATTTTAAATGATCCTTTTTTCCCTGAACATAAAAATAAAATCAACAAAGTAATAACAAATCCAGAAGATGGGTGTTTTCTGGACTCCAATGTTTGCATTTCTCCATTTGTCAGTTGGAAGTAATATTGGCTGGCTGGCTGAGGGGGAATACTGACTGTTGCAAGTGTGGTACAAAAAGGTTTCTGAGGAATGAACTGATGGCTACGTGGAAGTTATCTTAGAAAAAAAATGCCATAACTTTTGTCCCCCTGCACATCTGCGAAAGAAAGAAAGGAAGGAAGGAAGGAAGGAAGGAAGGAAGGAAGGAAGGAAGAAAGAAAGAAAGAAAGAAAGAAAGAAAGAAAGAAAGAAAGAAAGAAAGAAAGAAAGAAAGGTAGCTTTCCACCTTTGTTGTATTTCAAGAAAGGCAGGATAGTCGATATGGGAAGAGAGTAGATGAATTGTTCATGAACTACATAGTAGAAAAATCCATGGCTCTTTCATATCCTTCTTTGAGGTAAAGCCCCTGGAGAAACAACTATTCACCAGAGGCCCTTAATGCCTTCCTTCTGCCAACTTACCCTTTACAAAGAAGACTTCCCAAATATGGCAATAGTAGGCAAAAGTAGGCCTAGGTAGATGAGTACCATGCAGGGTTTTATGGTATAAAGGAGCAGAAATTATTATATGTTACTTTACATAATAAGAATGTATTACATAAATATAACATATTCACTTGTTCAATGCCTTGTAGACTCATAATTTATAAGATGTTACTTATGTACGTAACATACTTATGTATGTTACAATGCAAGCTTTATACATGGTTTATAACTTATTGTAGCCAATTAATTACACAATATTTCTAATTTCATTAATACAGCAAAATTTTTCATATGTTACATATAATACGTAATAATGCAATAAATAAAATTTCCAATAACATGCTTTTATAATTAAGTAGACTTCTAAAATGATTTAACTCAATCATAATAATAACTACTTTCTATCAAGAAGCTATCTGTGGTGTGCAATAAGAACACATATATCTAAAGAATGATTAAAAAGCTAATCAGGACAGAAGATTTAACTGTGACAGAGAAAAAAATACTTAAGACTATGTTTATGCCTTACATTTTGTTCAGCCAGTGAATACACAAGCTGTGGAAGAATATCGCCTTTAACTACAGCTTCTGCTAGATCATCGTTGTAATTAGCAAGTCTCCCAAGGGCCAAAGCAGCTGTCTGTTGAATATTTGGAACCACATCCAATAGGAGTGGTCTCAACAAAGCCATTACACCTGAATAATAATTAAAAAAACATAATAATTAGTGGAAGAAGAAAAAAATGTTATTTTTGAAATACAAAACATACTCTTAAAATTAAGAGAACCTGAAAGTTGTATATTACCCATAACATAATTTATGGTCAATTGATGTTTTTTATCTCCAGGATAGTATTGGGACACTAATGCCAAAAATAAAATAAAAAGAACAAAGTGGTTCAATGGGACAAAGCAGATTTGAATTCAAAGCTTCAGAAAAACAGAAGTCTTTTTTTAAAATTGCCCTGTTCCAAATTCCAGAAGATACTCCTTGGAACAGGGACTCTCAGTGATGGACAAGCATGGGTTTCTAGCCCTCATGATTCTAAAAGACATTTGGAGCATCAATTCTATTTCTTAGAAGTCGGCCCACCTTCCTTAGATGATGGGTTTATTGCATTGTAAAATCATTTTACTCTCTTCGGGGTTATTAAAGATGTGGGAAAGAAAACAGTAATAACATAGCAGACATAATTTTTATACTTTTAAAAATATTAAACACACTTGCATTGATTTTATGTTAATCTTGTTCTCTAATCTTACAGTTAAACTGCATCTTCTTATTATCCTATAAATAAAACTTCGCATTTTATGTTTATTTGCAGAAAGAGCATAGGACTGAAGGGAATTCCTGCTTCTATAGAATTTTACTCCAATAGAAACAAGTCAATCCTATTCCAATATAGTTTTTCTTAATGCTTTTCAATCTAAATATTTTGCTACTGAATTATAAACATCATTTTCTTTGGCGACAGCAGTTTATTAGTCCCACAAAGATTATACCTAATTATAATTTATATCTGTAAACTATACCAATGTATAGTTTATTGCTGTTTCTGTTCATTAAAACACTCTTAAGAAATATGAGGAAAACATACAAAAACATATACGCAACTGTATAAAGATCATAATTTTCTACATTTTCTTGCACAAATCTAAAGTACTTTGATATATTTTTTATTTTTTTAGCACTGAATACACACAGCCCAGAACAAAAAATTAAAAATAAACATAGCCTATGTCAAGTTCTTCCAAGTTGATTAAACATTTACTCATTTTTAAACCAATAAAATACTTTTTCAATGAAAACATACTGCTTGCAATCTTTTAGTGGTCAGTGATTCATTTCTAAAAAGAAATGAGTTAAATCTAATCACTTCCTATGAATCACATTCTGAGCAACAATAACTAACTAGTCATTCTCCAGTAACTTGTAACAGGGTTGGAATTACTTGTGAAAAAGGAGGATGATTAGACTTGCTAATATATGCAATCTGTTACATGCAGAATCTCACTTTAATTGGATTTGTGGCATCCAGCACAGCACAGTCAGAAGCAGAATGTTTATTTCACTCACACCCAGCTTCTTCCAAGTTGTCTTTTGAGATTGCCCACTTTTAAGTACAGTTTTTGATTTTCAGCTTTTACATGTCATGGAATTAAAAAGCCAATGAGCAACAAGTAAAAATGTATAGATCAACATTTCCAATGCAATGCAAAAGTAATAAAATTAAAAAACAATAGCAAAAAAATTAGTAAAATGAGGAAATGGTTAATCCTTAGAATTAGTTCATTTTTGTATTTTGAAAACAAAAATAACTGAAATCTGCAAAAAGAGTAAAGGTTTTTTTTAAAAAGTAACTGATAAAAACATCACATTTTTTATTATTCCCCCCCAAAAAATTATGACAGACGTCAATCTAGTTAGTTAATGAGAAATATATGCAAAAATGGTAACAAGGAATTTCAATTGGATTTAAAATATTACATATATGATATCTCTGAGGTATCATGAAATAGCTTTTGCAATCTAAATTTTGGGTAGCAACTATAGGAATTTTTTTGTTTATATTTATGAAGTGAAGTGATAGCTCTCTAAGGATAGTATATTTTACTCTATTTATGCTGAGTCAAAACTAGACAATGATAGACACTCTGCTTAAGAGTCAGAAATGTTTAGGCAACATGATCAGAAGCTAAGTGAAACTATTTAAATTACTCAGTGCAGTTTTCAGCTACTTTTGCTTACGTTTATAAAAAAAATCCTCTCAAACTGAGAAAATGATTTATATGTAGAGAAAGAACAAGTGTACAGGCTGAATGCTAGCTGTATAATGAAGCAATGTAACATTTATGAATAATACAAAATTGGCTGTAAATATTATTTTTCCACAGCAAAGCCAGGGCATTCTACAGGATGGATTTTTCTTCCATTCATTCAAGAAGAGGAGCTAGTTCCTACTTCTAGCCTTGCCTTATTCCAGACAGCAAAACCCCTGGGGCTGCCAACTGCCTTCAAAAGCAACACTCCCTTAAATGTTACCTTTATTTTTATTTACTTTATATTCTTCCTCCTTTCCCTTTGCTTTTACTCGGCTTTTAGACAATTTTTTTCTTCTGCCATAATATGAAAACTTGGGGAGGCAAAAATAATGCTTAAATTTTTTAAAGATATTTTTATTTCACCTTTATTATTTTTATAAAAAACTTAATGCAGCAAACATACCCAATATTCCTTCCTCCTATTTTCTCCACAACAACCCTATAAGTTGAGTTAGGCTGAGAGTGTGCGACTGGCCCAAAGTTACCCAGCCAGCTTTCATGCCTAAGGTAGTACTAAAACTCATACACTCCTGATTTCTAGATTGGTCCCTTAGTCATTAGCTCAAACTGGCCCTTTAATGTTATTACTTATTATATATTATCAGAGTAATATTACTCTACCACCTGTCATATACACACACTTTAGCAATATATAATAATACAATAAAAATAAACTTGATAGATTCATCCATGCAACCTATTCAATCACCATAATTAAAATGCATCATAAATCACTATCAAGGAAAAAAAATCCTTTCCAATATGCAGCTCTATTGTAAAAGTCACACATATGTTTTATTTGGAAATGTCTTTCAGAAAGAAAATGCCTTCTTTGGTGTTAATGTCAGAAGAAAACAACTATGTTCATTTGCAGGAGATTCAAGAAAAAGCACATACTTTCATAAAATATGTGAAATTCACTATTTTGCTATTTCTTAAAGTATCAAACACTTGGAGGTGAGATCTATCAAACTCAATAGCCATAAAAGCTAAATAAGGCTGTTTTATTTACCAAAGCAGATTCTTTTTTTTAATACTAGAAGCTGAAAACCATGACTCTTTTATCCAGAGTTTGTAAATACCTGGTGTCTTACTACTGGTATCAGAAACAAAACAGTGATATGTTTCACTTTTCAATCCTACGCATCAAGTAACATGGGATTTTTATATTGCAACTACAGCCTTAGATCACTGAAATCCCCATTGTCTAATTAACACTACTTATTTTGTGGTCATGAATGCATTTTAAAACTATGGTTATAATCCTCTGATTAGCCATTTCACATCCCTCCCGCTGATGACTTCTGAAAACCCTCTTGTAATATCCCAGTAATAATGCCCATTACTGTGTTTCAGATGTATTATGAAAGTTGTCAGATTTCCACAGGAAGGACATATCTGTCATTGAGGCTTGCCAACTCCACATCCTTTGAAATGATTGCACATATGTTAGATTTGACTATTGTATTATAAAGTGTAGCCACAAATTTGATTCATGTCATTTTGTGACCTACACATAGAGGGCCACATGATGTTCAAGCATCGGAGATGGGATATGCACACACAATTCTACTAATTTTTTTAGTTCCTTTTATTAAGAATAGGTGCCAGTTTGGTGTAATGGTTAAAATTCTGTCTTAGAAACTAGAAGACTGTGAGTTCAAGTTCAACTTTAGGTATAAAAGTCAGCTGGATGATTTTGGGTCAGTCTCTCTCTCATAACCCAACCCATCTCACAGGGTTGTTGTGGGAAAAATAGGGGGAAGGAGTATTATGTTTGTTTGTCAATCTGAAATAATAAAGGTGAACTAAACATCTAATAAATAAATATGTAGCCTTCCTCCTTATTTCATGTTAGCAGAGCTTATTTCTGAAAATAATCCTAGGACACATCCCAGTTCATTTTTTGGTACTTACAATTTAACCAAAAATAAAATATTTTTAAAATGATAGCTAAAAAAGACTATGTTTATACGATACACCCACCCCTAATCTAAAGGGTTTTATTCAATTAACTATTACTTTTCTTTTTTAATATTTATTTTAATTGTTTTTATGATTGTTTGCCACTGAAAATCACTCGTTTGAGATGAGCAGCTATACAAATTGATTGATTGATTGAATGAATGAATCAATCAATCAATCAATCAATTCTATTTTTTGTCATTCCATGATATTCTGAATTATACAATACAGTACAAGTCACAAACAAAATGAGCATTGCCAAAAGGTTAACACATTATGCAAACACATTCTTAACTTCTAGTTGTAGATATTCTATACATTAAAAATTAAAACATCAAATCATAAAACTTCAATATAACAGAGTTATTTAGTAACAGAAGTGGTATATAAACTGATCGTTTCATATTTATATTCATTATTTTTAAGAAGTAGTGCAAAGTATAAAAGTCTACACACAAAGGACATTTTGGGGTTCTTATGTATTTATGGTCACTGAAATCATTATCACATAATATATAACACTCAAAAACCTGAGACGTATGAAAATGTATTTCAATTTTTTTATTGATCTTATCTGCATATGCTTGATAACTTGAAAAACCTTCCTTAAGTGTATGTTTTAAAGCATGGGTCCTCAAACTACGTCCTGTGGACTGCATGCAGCCCGCCGAAGCCATTAATCTGGCCCACACAGGGCCATGAGGCTGCCCTGCCCACCATTCAGCTGAATGCAGAACTTACCTTCGTGAGCCCCGTGGGCTGGAACTGAAAGGTGAGGTCGACAATTTTGGCCTGCAGAGACATTCTTGAAGCAGGGGAGGTGAAACACAGAGAGCACAGATGCACTAGGAAGCCAAAAAATGGGTCAAAATGGGCCATTTTTGGCCAAAAATGAGCCATGTTTGCCT